TAACCATACCAATTTTTCCAAAATTAACCAACCCAAATCAAAAATCTAATTAAATAAAAAAAATTATATCCAAACAACTAATAATAATAATAATTTATAGAGTGTGACTATTAAAGCTATTATTTGGTAAAACTAGCCGATAAGCTAGCTGATAAGTGATAAGCTAGCTTATAGCTTATAAGTAATTTTCGAGCTTATAGCTTATAGCTTATGACTTATAGCTGAAAAACTAGCTTATATGATAAAAGTTTTTGGTAAAATTAGCTGATAAGCTAGCTGGAATAAAAAATTCAACTAGCTTATTTGAAAAGCTACCTAAACAAGCTTATCAAATAAGCTCGTCCTACCAAACTGGACTTATTTAAATCAATGTTCTAAAAGTCGCTAGGCGCTAATAAAGGCACTCGACCAGCGCCTAGCGCCTAAAGCGCCTAGGCGGGACCTAGAAATAAATATTAAATACCTTATTTTTTACTTATTTAACTACTAACAAAATAAAAGTATCTCAACTTATAATAAATCGACACATCTAAGTCCAAATAATAATATTAATATATTTTAAAGAAAACATGAGAACAAAATAATGTAATTAGTATTTTAAAAAAAAAAACTAAAATATTGTCGCCGAGCCCGCCTAAGAGCGCCTAAGTCCGCCTACGCCCGCCTAGCCGCCTGACCGATTTTTCTGGTCGATTTGTGCAAATCGGAGGCGCCCGGGCACCGCCTAGAAAGCCGCCTAAGCCTACTTTTAGAACAGTGATTTAAATACAGAAAATTTATAAGTTAACTAAATAAACTATAAACTAACTTATTTAGTTTACCACACATAGTCTAAAATGCCCTTGTTGGACAAAAATCTAGCGGATGCGTATGGCTTTGGTGGGAAAAAGTGAGATCACATGGGCACCACTTTCACTCTTTTAACCTAACACATCTTAAGAAAAAGTCAAACTTTGTTCAAATTATTATCTCCATCTGGATTTTGGTCCGACACGTGGCACTGCTGTAATTATCAAGCCCAAACCCATGGGTTATTTTCTTGGATAAAGAATGCTCCAAGTTTCAAATTTTGAACTCAAAAGTCATACTTCGTGAGTTTTGTTTCATCAATTAAAGGCACTATATACCGACGATGATTTTTGTGTCACTTAACTTTCTCATACAATGTTATCACATTCACATAGTTTGATTATAGTAACTAGTCATTTAATTATTATTCAAACAACTCACGAGTCGAACCGAATTTTAAACACTTAATATTCGAACTCGTATATGGTCACTAACTAAACATATCGGGTACAACGACTGATCTTCGCTCATTAACTCAATTCTTAACGAGATAGACGACATTAAGATTTTAAAAAATTACATAAAAAGTTCTTGTATTTCTATTAAAATATGACCCGCTAACTAAAATCTTTTCACAAAATTCAAGTCCGACTCGTTTATGAAAATCGAGCTAACGAGTAACTCGTTTCATCAACGCACAAAACACAACACAAAATAAACAAAAGATTATACTCGGCTAAACAGTAAATACGCGACAAATTTGAGGGTGCAAAGTAAAATTCAAATGCCACTTTGTGTAGCAATCCTCAAAGTAAAATTCAAATGCTACTTTGTGTAGCAATCAATCCTCATTGGGTAAAATAGAAATAATTATTATTATTTTGAATTAGGTAAAATAGTTATTAAAATCCCTGAAATCAGGGACTCGTGAAACCAATAAACACACTGTGGTCTCAGTAGAGCTAACCCAAAGTGTGTGAATTCAAAAAGGCAAGCTGCGCAGTTGCGGAGAGAGAGAGAGAGAGAGAGAGAGAGAGAGAGAGAGAGAGAGAGAATGGAGAGGGCAACGCCTGTTCGAAAGTCTCACACCTCCACTTCAGATCTCCTCACCTGGACGGAGTCTCCGCCGTCCCAAGCTTCCTCCTCCGCCGACGTCTCTCGCCCCGCCGCCCGTCTTAACCAGGTAAGTTCCCGACATTACGCCGATCTCTTTCCATTGATCCAAATCAAACCGTTGAAATGCTCAATTATTTCTCATTTTGGGGTTTGTTGCTTCCCTTTTTACACTCTCTCGTACTCTCTCTCTCTCTCTCTCTCACACACACACACACACACACACACACACATATTTTCCTTTTGGGGGCAGCCATCGGACGGAATTGGTAAGGTGCTGTTTGGAGGTCAGATCACCGATGAGGAAGCTGAGAGCCTTAACAAAAGGTACTCTGTGTGTGCGTGTGTGTGTGTGTGTGTCCTTATTAGTGTACATCCAAACCCCCCTTTTTCTCATTTTCTGTTTCCTTTGTTTTTGGCCCTTCGATTTGAAGAAAATAACTTGTTTATTATTATCTCTCTGGGTAAATGTGATTGGTTTGCTGAAGGATTTTGTTTTCTTCTGTTACAGGAAGACTCATAATTCATGTTTGAGATGCAATTGCCTGCATTGCTTTTGTGCTTTAAGTTTATAACCATTAGAATTTGATGGTGCCCTTACAATTTTTTAATTTTTGGTTCTATTGACTTGATTGATCCTTAGTAACGAAGTATATAATGAAAAGAACTGCATTAGAAGCTATTAACTTCTGAAATGGGAAGAGCATGGACGTGTAAGGGGCTTTAGTTTTATGTATGATAATCGTTCTGTTTTACGTTTACAACTTTTTAAATGTGAAATCTTCTTTGTTTAGAAAAGTAAAAATGTAAATTTTCTAATTTTTCATTGTAAATTAATTGTGTATATCCAATCCATTGTTGAATATGCACTCGTATAGGGCCATGTTAATTAGAATGCTAACCTAGAGGCCTTAGGGATCAGATTAATAGCTTAGCACGCCCCTAGACAAGTGCTTCAATAACCCAAATTTGCCATGAGTTTGTAGGTGCAAAGTGGGAGAAGTTGTGTTCTGTTTTCCATAGTAATGGTAACCTGCCCTTAAAAAATCTTATACCCATCAAATCATGAAGTTGTGAAAATCGGTTGCTTGTGGATGGAAATGGTGTGAAGCAGAATTGTTAATGTCTTTGTGCTGAAGTTTTTATTCACCATTGTCATGTACTGCGCATTAAACCAAATACTGAAAATGATGCCCCAACTCTCTACTAAATGGGACAAAAAGACGAGCAGAAGTTTGAATGAAAAATGTGTGTGTGTGTGTGTGTGTGTGTTTTTTTTTT